ACGCTTCCCCCCTTCTTCTGGCCAAAAGAATTTTTGAATGATGCGCTAGAAGAGGAAGGTTGCATAATCCTTCCGCTCTTCAGTCCTTGTTCCACTCTCTCACCGATGGTTACCACATCTGCAAAAAAAGTTAACGTGTTCCCTATCATCTTCTCATAATAGGGACCCGTCAACGAGTTGATAAACATGGGTGGAGGCTCCACTTGGGCGGCCAACTCCCTCCAACGTTGAGCATACGCCTTGAAGGATTCGTTGTTTCTTTTGCTCAGAGCTTGAAGATCTGACCTATCCAGAGTCAGATCGATGTTATATTTATAATGGTAAAGGAAGGCGTCTGCCAGCTGTTTCCAGGTTTGGACTTGTCCCCCTTCCAGCTGCATATACCAGTTCAAGGCCGAATCGACTAAGTTTTCCTGAAAACAGTGGATCAGGAGTTCCTCATTATCGGCATATGGAGCCATCTTACGGTAGTACATTGTAAGATGACTCTTGGGGCAAGTCATTCCCATGTACTTTGGGAAATCTGGAACCTTGAATTTGGGGGGAAATTGGATATTCTTAACGAGGCACATGTCGGCCGCCTCTTTAATATCAAAATTATGTCCCTCCATAGCCCTTAACCTCTCTTCGAAGGCAGAAATCTGTTGCTTGAAAACTTCAGGAGATTGAATGATTATTGCCCTCAATTCGGGTTGTACGTGAGCTCCCTGCTCAAGCTCATGGTCGGAGCCCTCCTCTTCCTCGTGATGTAAGGTATGGTCACTGTGGGGGCTCTCCTTATGTAGGTTTTGCTGACACATTAACTCCATTAACTGCACCATATGTTCCTTCATGGAGTTAAGCTCAGCAGTGAGCTTACGATTCTGCTCCTCTAAGTGTTCCATCATCTTGGCCTTTTGCGCGCGAGTGAGGACAAGAAGAAGACCAGTCACTTTCTAGGATGCACAAATGAATTTTATTACTTAAAATGAATGATTGGTGTGAGATAGATATGTCTTAATACAATGAATTTAGTATCATCCTTAAAGCTTACGCTTTGCGGGGTACCATACCCACTTTGGTGTAATGGTTTCTTCCCCATCATAGATTGACAAGTAATACGAAGGTTACCGCACCTTAACACACTTGTCCCTTCCTTGTCATTAACAAGTATAACGAAGGTTACAAATGCACTTGGGTCTCTTTTGCCTTTGTCTTAGGGATATCTAGTGCCCCCTAGCATGAATGTATTTATGCATGAAAGATTTTATTAGGATGATATATATGCATGCTTTCCTTATGCATTTATTTTCTCTCATAGTTTTACCACTTATGAGATGATGCGGATATGAATGGTTGACTTTGTCAAAAACTCTTTTTATTGTACAAATAATTTTTATTGTTTTAGATTGTTCTTATTATTTTTTTATTTATTTTTATTTTAAGCCTTTATCTCTTCTGTAGATCCACGTGACTACTTAGCTTACAAATAACATGAAACCAGGCTAACTAAAATGTAGATTGTCCGAGATAAAGTTGTTTATTATGAAAATTTGGTTTTATAACCCCTGATCTCTTCTATCGGTCCACGTGGCTACTTAGCTTACAAATAACTTGAAACCAAGTTAGCTAAAATGTAGATTGTCCGAGATAAAGTTGTTTATTACAAAAATGTTTTTATGATGCTATTTTATTTGTATCATTTTATTTTTATTGTTTTATTTGTTGTTGTATGATTATGTTATGCAACAAACAATTCACTCATCCGGGAACAGAGTGACGATGTTTAATTACGAGGTAGGGGTATCCTGCAGAAAAATGCGTATTCAAGGTGGTTCTAATTGTTCTCACCAAGGTCAGACCCCCAAGGTGCCCCCATTATAGGGTTCTCACTCTCTCAGCCCTCAGACCATGCATGGCACTAGGGTCTTGTCAGTCTTTAGGCCAAAAGAGGAAGGTTATCACCTTGAGTGGTGATTTCCGACCATACGGGTGGGCTCAAGGCCATCACTACAACAAATCTTACCTGCCACCGGCTCCCTAAGGTTATCCCACATGCCCCGGGTATAGAGGGAACTGTTGTGTGCAAAGTGTACAATTGTTATTTCAAACAATTGCAGAAGATAAACATACAATAGTTATTAAAACCATAGAATAAAGCATTTTGTAAATACAAGGAAGGGTAAAAGCATAATTTCAAGTTCTTATTTCTTGAACTAATCCATCATTAAATGGGATCAACTCTCTAGCTTCCCCAGTGGAGTTGCCATCTATAGTCGTCGTCTCCCGCGCTGATAGGTGCGAGGATTTCGATATTTGCAAACGGTTGCGATGGATGACTAAACCCCTGTGTTTTTGAAAAATTATGTAGTCAACGCTTTTTAGGTTATCCGATAACCGGACTGAACCTAAAAATGAGATTTTTGTAAAGGATTCTATGGAGTCGCCACCGATGTTTTTAGCATAAACATCAAAAAAGGAAGAAAAGAAAGAATTGGTTTAGAAAAACCAACTTTGGCTGTTATAACCAGAGTTGGGTAAGGGAGTTAGTTACGTGTGGGAAAGGTGTTAGCACCCTACAACGCCCTTTTTGGGTTCTCCACTAATTCATATAATAAAGACTAAGAAAAATTATTCTTCTACCCTATTTATTTATCTACTTTGCATAATTTTAAATATCTACATGGCCCTAGTATCTAATGCATATAAGGAAAGTAGTAAAATAAAGCAGTAAAAGAGAAGAGATATGAAGAAGAACCTCCGAAGCGAGCTTTTTATAAATCTTGAACTTGAGGATGTTTTTTGGCAGTCCCCGCACTCTACAAAGATACTCTTTCCTCGAACAAAAAATAAAATACCACACTACCGAGCGTCGGATGTCTCAAAAGAAAACTTCCTTAACCGATCTCTACCTTAAACGGAAATCGAAAAACTCACTTGGACTCTAGAATAATGTCCAAAGTCACTCTCAAGTGTCAAAAGACTTCCTAGAGAGTGTAGGAGTGGAAATGTGTGTAAAAAATGAGAAATGAGACTCCTATTTATAGGGAAGCGAGCCAAGGAAACATGGACGGCCGTCTGGCCATCATGGACGGTCGTCCATGGCCAAAATTAAGGGTGGACAGTCGTCTGTCTAGCATGGACGGTCATCCATAGCTGGAAAATCTGAGTGGACGGCCGTTTGACTATGCTGGACGGCCATCCACTACTTCCCTGACAAAAATGATTTTTTATTTCCCCAAAAATCTCTCCTTAGACCTAGTAAACACTACTAGAGGTCCTATGAAACTTTATTCTTCTTTAGAACGAAGGATTTCTAGCCTTTTTATGAAGTTAAGCAAGATTTAGGGTCTATAATCCTTACGGATGATCTTAAAAGTTTCATTTAACTTAAATATATATTTTTTGTCCTCACGTAATCCTCAAAAACATACTTCAAAGAAAATGAAATGTAATGATAACGTTCTTTTCACATAATAACTATATAATAACTATTTTCGTTACATAGAATTTTCAAGTTTTGAGTTAAAAAGAAAAAAAAATATGTTTTCATTATAAAATACATTGTATGTAATTTTTTTAATCTTTATAATTATATATCTGGTTTAAATATTTACAACTTTTAAATTGTATTGTTTGAGTTACATTTATAAGTATATTGTTTAATGAAGTAGAACTAATTTAATTATTTATCTTATTTTTTTCTCTTTATTAAGTTATTATTTTATAACATTTAAAATTTGTTTTTATGTTACTCTAAATCGAATGGAAATGAATGGTTGACAAAATTAGGATGTCAAAAAACTACAAATTTATTATTTTAAAAAGAAAATCTAGAAGGAGCATTGTTTTAAAATAAATGAAGTAATACTTTATAATGGTTTGTGCAGTGAAATCTCCATGTTTAATTTTTATTATGTGCAAAAACTTGCAATTATAGTTGCATTACCATAAATAAAATTAGTTTATGAACAAATGAAATTAGGAAAACTCAATATCGAAAAATTCTTATATTGAAATATAAATACAATAAATAATGTATTTTGGATTTATATTTTATGTACGATTAATATAAAAATTATACTATTAAATGATAAAAAATTACTTATCATTTTCAAGATAAACAATTCACTCTCAATTCAAGAAGACATTTGACTTAATATTTAGATATTGACATTTTCATCAAATAAAAGTACTAAAGTAGCTCCATTTTTTTTAACTAGGTTGGAAAATAGAACGAAAACCTTCAAAAAGATCGAAATATATCAAAAGAAAAAGAAAACCCTTAAAATCTTTATGGGACAAAGACTTCTACAATTGTTTCATGCAATAATTTAAAAGTTCTGAGAGAATTTGGAACCATGGTTTAGAAAGTTAGATGCGAACTTTTAGATGAGTCAAAAAGCTTAGATAACATAAGAATGTGTTTATTTTTCTTTTTAGTTTGACTCAAACCATTGTTCATTGTCTGCTGTGTTAAAAGTCAAACTGGGATGATTAGCTGCATCTCTGAGGTTTGATCACCAAAATAACAAGATGAGGAAATAGTGTGACAAAAACACATTTGAAAAGAGATAAGAGTAATTGCAGCAAGTAGACATATATGGAGGGGTTCACCGAACCCAACCCACGTCCACGTATAACCAAAGACATCAACTTTTGAGTTCCAATGTTGTCATAAAAGACCAATATCAGGACCTCATCGCGGACACGATGTGAACACACGCGCAACTTTTGAGTTCCAATGTTGTCATAAACGACCGGTCGTTTTCAAGGTTGGGCGGTAGCAGACAACAGCATGCAGAAAACACGCGTTATCTGGGGAGCGTAATAATTGTCAAAACTTCATAGAGAACTGCATAAGTTCACCCACTAACGCCACGTAGGTTGTATAGTTTGTTGCATTGCAGGTCGAAGTTGAAGCTTTAAAAGTCTTTCAAGTCTCAACTGTTTTAGAATAAAGAAGCAAAATTGATCTGTCTTGGAAAATCAACCATTATAGTTCAGGTTTTTCTCTGCTCATGGCTGCTATGCATGATGATGGTGGTGAAGTGAGTTTTGAAGAAGGAATGCTCTGGTTACCGTCTCATGTTCTGGATGAGGCATGCGGCACTACTAAGGTTATATATTTTTCTTTTTCATCATTTTTCTTCTTCTCTTGCTTTAGTGTTCGAAGTAATCACTGGGATGACATTTGATAGTGTTTTTGGTTTGTACTTTCAGATTTCAGATAGTGTGATTTCTTTGTACTTTTAGATTTCATATTTTTGGATTCCGTTTATATTTTATAATGTAATTTCTAGTAATTTGAGTACTATCTAATTGGGTTATATGTGGTTCAATTTATCTTCAGAAAGGTTTGAGGAACCGACACCAGAAGGTCCCAAACCATCAGCAAATGCGTCAGTCCGATAGGCAAAAATCACCTGGAGAGCCAAAATCGCAGGTAAATGTTTTTCTTGATTGTAATTCAATCCACCTCAGCTTATGGCTCATGGGGTATTTTTTTTTTTTTTTTTTTGAAGTGTGGAAGTTTGGTTGGAAAATGCAGGTATGAATTGAAGGATGTGACATTAGCCCTACTATATATGATTTGAAGATTTGAAAATTAGCAATTGTAGGCTGTTTTTTATTATAGTAACTACATCAAGATTACTTGGATTTCATGTTGTTTCACAAAAATATAAACTGGAAGCATGCAAATAAATATTAGGCAAACCTTTGGCAGTCATTTTAGTTAGTGGCTTATACCACAAAAGTTTCAAAGCTTATATATATAGAGAACATAACATTTTAAATTAGTACATGTTAGTATACTCGTACTCAACTGTTAACGAAGTTTGGAGGTTTTGAGGTGAAACATTAAAGAGAAATGAGGTTAGATATCTATTCACGTTTGGATAAATTTGGTCCTACACATCCATTGAATGTATTTCACTACAGCCTATTAATAATTCTATTTTCAAATACCTAATAGTTTCTTCACTTTGTTCTTTTCCTGGTATATGTGCTCTGCAGAACTCAAAATCTACCTATAGATCTTCGTATACAAGGCCAAAACTTGTCAATGGTGGACCAGGAATGCGAGTTATTTTCTTGGGATCAGCTCATAGATCTGGTGGCACTGGTGTATTCTTGCCCCAAAGAGCAGGCTCAAACTTCCAACCAAGTAAGAGGCCAGGTTTGAGAACTTGTATTTCCTTGCAATGAAATATGTATATATGTGCACGGGCCTGCACCACTGCCAGAAAAATGAAATATTCCTAAATCGATCCAAAATGAATTGTGATTTTTCTAAATAGTGTTTGGGAATATTGAAATTCATGTCAACAATTACTTAGGCTTGATCCATAATTTGCAGTAAGTTATTACATAGTATTACAAAAGAAGAAAACAACAAGAAGAATCGTACAAACAAACTGAACTCTCATTCTCATCATCTAAATGGAGCACAAAGTATTTAACGTAGTAGTCTCACAGTCACAACATCCACCTGGCTTAACAAACTAACTCCTCTCTAATTCTGATCTTTCCTTATTTATTACATAACACAGAGCTAAGAAACTTGCCATGAAATTCAACTATTTGAATCAGATATTTTCTGTTGCAGCTTGTGCTCCTGTCCTCCTTCCAGCCCGAGTTATTCAAGCTCTGAATCTTGATGTGCATGCATTAGGTGTGCAGATTTCACCCCCGCAAGGTCGTAAATCCAACTTTGAATTCATTGATTTGAATGTCATATATTCGTTATTTTATTTTTTAATTACAAGTATTGAATATATTTGGTACGGCAAATGCCCTTATAAATGTAATTTTTTCACACGTGAATTCACTCTGACCTTTCATCTGGTTGCAGTTCGGAGACATAACCCAATAATATGCAGAGAGGCATACAACAACAATTCAAAAGAAAAGAGAAGTGATCAGAAAGAAGCGTCCAAGCAATGCAGTATTATTTCTCAGAATCGAAGTTCTTCTCCAGCTATATTTCTCCCAAAGGAATGGACTTACTAACTAGCGTTTCTCATTTGCAAAGAGAACATAGTCAAATTTCAGAAGCATGCAAAAATTATTAATAACAAAACATGAGTATCATGCATTATGCAGAAAGTAGTACTGTTTCGATCATACATAGATGTTACTTTTTAATAATAGCATCTCAGGTCTCTTGAGGGTCACGTTTGTAATTGCATCCTTCAGTGTTGATATAAGTTTAAGTCTTAGCATTAATATTTAATGGATGTCAATGCTATTTAAATATTTATTTATGATGATTTCAGGACTATTTTATCCCTTCTTTTTTGTAAGGGTATCTGGTGGTTGGACTTGAAAATTGAAAAATTCCATTCAAGTGCAAGGATTGAGGGTAGTAAAAACAAACTAACAAAACTAAAGCAAGGGATAGCCTTAATCTCATTGAGATAGATGTAGTGTGACCACGTGTCTATGCAGTATTAAAGATTTTTATTTCAGTGAAAAAATTACCAATAAAAAAATTTAATATTTTATTTTAAATTCTATAGTCTCATTTTTTTCCCTATCTTATCGTCATCATCTTCAAATTCTTTTGAAGACTCAACTCCATTATTTAAAGCGGCTAGTTAATTCAAATAGTTAAAGTGACGAAAAAAGAATTTAAGGGCCTAAATGAAGAAAAAAATATAGGTAAGAAAAAAAGAATAAAGAATAAATATGGACTAAAAAAAGTGACATATTTAAGTCTTAAAATATAATGTTTAAGTTTAAACCAAAATTATAATATAAAATAAAAATATTAAATAAGAAGAAAAAAATCTTTAAAGAATATGCATTTATCAACCATTGATATCACATCTAAAGTTACTCACACATTACATAGATCCGAAAGTTAATTTATTCATTAGATACACATTACACACACACACACACACACACACATATATATATATATATATATATATATATATATATATATATATATATTATATACCATGCAGGAAAAAAATGTATACTCTAAATTCCCACATGAATGGACGCATATTAATAATTATCAACTCATTATCTTTCCTAAAATTTTGCTGCATATTCATGATGTGAATAGGAGGTGAAATGGCAAAGTTCAGCACAAAAAAGAACCCTTGATGACATAACCAGGCGTTAGAAAAAAGCCCAAGATTTTATGGACAATGATTTAATTTGGGCCACGGGGGCTAAAGTGAACTACCTAACCATATATATTTGTAAATTTATTCCATTATTTATTCTTTCTTCTTCTCCGACAACCCTCGGTCACCTTGCCATCGCCACACCATTGGCCATTGAAATGAACTTTAACTTAAGAATTTTGCTTTCAACAAGAGATTAACGAAATCACAATTCCAACTATTTGAAGTTCATGAAGTTTTAACATTATTCATAATTTTTAAAACTTGTTTTAAATGAAATAAAGAACCAGGAAATTTTAGAACTTTTTTTTAGACAAGTAGTCAACGATAAATAATTCCGAAATTATTATTATTATTATTTTATCCAAAGCAACAAACTATAAATATAAAATAATTATACATACTTTTTGTATATGATGAATTTCAATTATTCTCACTACATTGATGATTACCTAATTACGAATAGAATGTGGACTAGTTTAACTAAGAAGTAAAAGTCTAAAGACAAGGTCCCCCTAGTTTGTGTTTAGTTGAGGAGCCTTGTTGAGAATATTATGAGTTTATTGACTAGCTAGACATCACATATGGCTTGAATCTTAGATACACATTAAGCCATAGTGGTTGGACTTTCACGTGGTTAATTCCAATGCTTGGAACATTAATTCATCAAGTTAATTAGAGGAGTGGTGGTGTTCAGTCCGCATGGGGAATGATTTGGTTAAGTGCCCTCTTCACTTCCACGATGCTCACCTTCTTCCCGTTCGGATGTTCCTTCACCTTAGCCCTCAACTCCGCCACGAACACCCCATTGTTAAGCGACGACTGCACCCCAATAACCTCTATCCTCAACTCCCTCAGCATCTGCATCACGTCCAGAAGCAACCCTTCTCTGTGGAGGCACTCTATCTCCAACAGTGCATCGCTCTCAATGATTGAAACTTGCACTGACGTTGCCGCCTCCGCCTCCACCGCCGTCGCCTTCGCCGCCACCCCTTCCACGATCCTCAACTTCCTCTTCTCCATCACCGTCACCCCACTCCTCTGTTGCTCCTTGCTCGAATTGCTACTCGTCCTTTGAACCGTTACCTATCCCCCACCACATTCATCAACACGTCAACAAATCATATCACCAAAATAATCATATTTATAACACCCATAGCCTAAACTTAAGTTGATTTTAAAAAATAAAATAAACACTATGATTAACTTAATTTAAACCAGTTTATAATCTTCTCATATTATTTTTTTTTAATATTTTTTCCTTTTTATTTCACGAGTATCTGTGAAAAAAGAAATATTTAACCAAGTTCACAGCTTAATTAGATGTATAGTTCATATGTACTATTTGTTTTTTGTTTTTTTGGTAAGAGCTATAATTTTTATTTCTATAATTTGTGTTATAGTATTTACTTAAAAAATGTAATTAAATTATAAGTCTAATAGTTATAAACAAGCTCTACAAATATATTATTTGTGATGCTTATTAATTAATTAATCTCAGATTTAAAAAGTAATTATTATAAAAATGAATTAAATATACTATTAGATGACGTTAAAAGACAAATATGCATCTCAACCTTTCTAAAATTACCTCAGGGAGCTTGGAACGCTGTTCCGCCTCAGTGTGGCGGTTATGGGCCTCCAGCTCCTGGATCTTCCGCCGCAGCTGCTTCACATATTCGATGGTGTCGCCGAGAATGGATGCCTTGTCCATTTTCGTGACGAAGGGGACCAGTGACCGCAGAATTATGAACCGCTCGTTCAGCTTCTCGCGGCGGCGGCGCTCGGCGAGCACGTGGTTGGCGCTCAGCTCGTCCTGCGGCGTTCCCTTGCCGCGGAGCTTGGGGTCGACGGCGGTTGGCGGAGAATTCTCGGTAGGGTTCTTGGCGTGGAGGTAGGGGACCGTGAAGAGAATGTACTTGAGGAGCCACTGGCTGGGGCCGTCGACCGCCGGGTGGAAGAGGTGGCTGGCGCGGGTGGTCCACTTTGAGAAAGCTGAATGCGTGGAGTATGTGATGTAGCCGACGGAGGTGGGCGAGGTGGACCACCGGCTGGACTGGTTTTGGAGGATGTTGGATACCGTTTGAGAGTAGTGTGTGTCTTCTTGGGTCAACTCTTCTAATAGATCAGGGGCTGCAAAATTAAGAGTTATATTAATATTAATAAATTATCAACACTTTTTATAGTATAAGTTGATAATGATATTATAAAAAATATTAAATATGTGCAATAATAATAAATAGTTTTATTAAATTATCACAATTTAATTATTTTTTCAAGTTAAAATATTTATATTGAAAAACTTTTAAATTTCCTAATGAACCGATTTCAGTCAAACTAGTTGTGCTAACCAAATTGTAGCTGAATTGAACTACATAAGAGAAAAGTTAATTGATTTTTTTTGTTTAAATAGTGAATCTAGTTTTTAAACACATGGTTTTAATTTTTATTACTCTCCTTGCATATCATATAAACACAATAATATAAATGTATTTTTACTTTATTATACAAATATAAATCCATTTTTTTAGTTTTTGCAATAATATTAGCTAATTTTAAATTCTTGATATTTTTTTAATCGTCCGTTTAAAAGTTTTTATAATTAACTACAATCAATTTAAAACTAAAACAAATAAAAAGTATTTGTTAAATTAGTTTGTGAATTAGAATTTAAATTGGTTTTAACTTTGGTTATAAGATTCAAATTTAATAATTTAGAGTCTAATTTTTAATTAGTGACTAAAACTTTGAAAATTAAGATTAGAAATGTTAATTTAAAAACTAATTTAACTCTATTATTTTTACCTTAGTCAATATAATAATTAAATATTTTTTATTTTTAAATTAGTTAATATTTAGTAAATTTCTTACATCACTAAATCTTTCCTTTCCTATTTTCTAGTAGATGTATAATGAAGTGAACTTAAAGTTTATTTATAAGTCTAAGATTTTTAATTACTACTTCATCCATCTTAAATATACCACGTTTAAGATTATGTTACATAAATAAAAATAAATATTAGTTTTTATTATTTTTAATAAAATTATTATTTTTTATTAATATTCTTTTCAGTAAATGAAGGGAGTAGTTAATTATCTACTTAAAACTTCTTTTTTTCTTCATTTCAGTACGAGATTTTGGAGTCTTTTGAAATAGAGGCAACTGCTAAAAACTTAGATATATTAGTTTTTCTGCCTAAAACAAGGGAAAAAGAAAGAAGAAGAAGATTTGTAATTTCCTCTTACTTGATGTTTTCTGTTCAGATTATAACATCTACAGTGTTTTGGATTTATCTTCCAATAAGTCAAATGCTCAGGTCGTTAGTTAAATTTTGGAAATTTGTTATTCAAACAATGCATATATATATATATGTATATATGTATATATATATATATATATATATATATATATATATATATATATATATATATATAGTTACACATCTAATCAATCAAGCAATGTTTTAGTTTCTCTTTGCTTGCAACCATTTGTTGTTTGTGGTTGAGAAGAAATTATAAAAGAATAGAAGATAATAAAATTATTTTTATTACTTAGTAAGAATGAACAGAATAAAAATAATTTTTAAAATTATAAAAATTTACTTTATTATTTATTTATAATAAGGTACTTTTAAATGTTACACTATTCATTTTTTAACTCAAATAATTTTTATTTATTCTTTTTATCCAATGTGTGAAACATGTAGTTAGTGGTCTTTTGCTTGTCAGACTCTACTTATCGGCATCAAGTTTTGGGCTGGACTAGAGACTCCTCTCAAACACATCTTAAATTATATAATTAATATTTATTCAAAATATTGGTTAGTCTATAATATTGTTTTTTTTTATCTCTTTTGTTATTATTATAACAATTTTAATATTATCATTCTCTCTGTCTAACTATAAATATAATTATTTAAATACTTAATAACAAATAATCAATGCCATTTTAAATAAATACAGCAATTTTTCTTGCAAATAATGAAAACAAATAAAATAAATACAATTTCATAAACACCGTGATATGAGTGTATCTATTTCTACATGGCAATAATAGCAGAGATATTTAATAAGCTTAAAAAAATTATTAGGGAATAGTTTAGAAAATATAATAGGTTTATTATAGTCAATTATTTGATGCATTAATATAATTTTTTAATTTTGTCTTTCATCTTATTTTATTTATGCAATTTATTTCTTTATATTAAAAAAATAATTAAATTATAATAATAGAATAGCACAATCATTTATCTCTCATCATTTTCATTTCATCTTCCAAATAATCATTCTTATCGCTTTTATCATTAATATTCTATATTTTTGTCCTTATTGTTATAACCATCATTATCATTATTTCATCACTATTATTTTCTTGTTAACACCTATATAATTAGTCTTTATTCTCATCTATTACTTTCACCATCATTTTCTATTATTACTATTATAATTATTACTCTCTATTTTTAAATAATTCCATTTACAAAAAATTATAAATATATATAATTAGTAAAATTTAAGATTGTATTAATTATTATTTTATCAATATATTATTATTTTTTTAATTATAATTTTATTTATGTTTATTATAAAGAATATAATAAATTATTAAAAATAATTTCAGACAGAAAATATTAAGATAATAAAAATATTAATAAAAAAACTAATAAACTTACTACAAAAAGTTTTATTTTCATGTAACTCAACTTTAAATGACACATATTTAAAAACAGAAAACTACTATAATAATAATTATTATTGTAATTATTATCATGATAATCATAACTATATTATAAAATTGAACACTATTATTATAAAATTCATTATCATCATTACAACAATGATTCATGTACACAATTTTAAATTTTTATTTCTATCAAATCTTAACCATTACAAAATTTATATTTTCTTCCTTTTCAAGATATTATTTAAGTGTTTTTCACCTTTTTATGATTTTCTAAGTATTTTTTCTTATATTATTTTCATAATCAAAGATTTAAATATAGTAAATAAATAGTGATAATTGCAAAATTGAAATGATATATGTGTGTATATATATATATATATATATATATATATATATATATATATATATATATAAAGGTTTAGTAGTAACAAACTATGGTAAAAATGTATTGAAAATATTATCAATAAAAGGTTACTTTGAATGATGGTACCGGTTAGCTGTTTATTTATTTTGAAGTTACTATTTTTGCCTTAATATTTTCTAAGAGGGTGATTAATTGACAGCCAATATAACTAGTTAGTAATTAAAAGTATTATTATTATTATTATTATTATTATTATTATTATTATTATTAACAAGTTTAGTTGTATTTAATAAGAAGGAGGCATTTATGTTTTGGTATTGTTCATATATCCCTTTCAAGTTCTTCTATTGTCGCGGTCTTGTTTTGGTTTTATAGTGTGAGCATTGGACATGGGTGTTTATTGTGATATATTTGCATGCTGAGAGTGGTGTTAGTTTACGTACATATGGATACTGTGCGAAAAGTACCTTTGATGCCTCAGCATTAAACACCAATTGGATGGTCTAGACTTTTGATGAGGACCCCCACCAAATGGTCAAGACAAGGAGGACTTTATTAGGTTGGACCACATGCCCTAGGTTAGTGTTCATCATGTACCACACACATTTAACTTAATAATGAGTGATATAACAATTAATCTTCACTAACTAATTAATAATCTTTCCTACTGAGTTGTATACCTAACGTGGTCCAAGATATGTCGTTTTACAAATTTATTGGTCTTCGCTTACACTATCATGTGCTTTAGGTTTTGTTTTGAATGTTTGGTGAGTGGCAGTTGTGATACTATTATGCCAAGCATGTTATCAATTTTATGATTATATATATATACGCGTGTGTTTTTTATAACTAAATAACTACCAGTTTACCTGAAGCTGGTAGTTGAACTTGAAGTGGCTCTTGACTCGGGGCCCATCTCCGGGTCGACTCAGCCTGCCCCGCCGCGTTCAATCCTTGACTCACCGCCAGCAAATGGAAGTCCGAGTCCAAGTTGTTCGACCCGTCGTTCGGAGACCCCACCCGGATGTCCTCCGGCATCTCCAGCTGCATCAGCTCACTGGGCTCCGCAGCCGTGACGCCCTCCATGTCCGGCGTCGGATGGGCGACGCGGCCTCTGGTTTCGTCCTCGGAGGCCGTCTCCGCCTCCTCCTCCTCCTCCTCCTCCTCCTCTTCCTCTTCCTCTTCCTCTTCCTCTTCATCTTCGTCCATGTCGTTTTGGGTGGGATTGGTGGCGGGTGGGTCTGCGACGGTGTACATGACGGCTGGGATGTGGTCGGAGGAGGATATGGGGTTGGAGGTTGAGTGCTCGGACAAGGCGGGCTTGGGCGGGAGAGGGTGGTGGTGGTCTGTGAAGAATGTCTTGACGTGGTGGATGAAGTTAAGGTCTTCTTGAACCTAAGCAAAAGATGGAGGGAGATATATAAGGCGAAAGGTTGTTCCTTTAACACTGATTAGTAACGTTGGAGGGAGTGAAGGTTGGTTACCTTATCCGTCGTGCCAAACTCAACCACGCCGTCTAATAAAGGAATGCACACCACTGTCTGTATGTCACAAATGATAAACCCATCATATTATATTTTATATCTCTACATGTCATTCACCTCTTTTTCTTGTTTTCTATTTGAAACAACGAGAAAGAAAGATAGAAAGAATGGTTACCTGTATATGAGCACTCTATGGTGGAAAAAATTGCAACCAGAAACCAGAGGAAATACAAGGTAGTTAGTACATAATTAATCACCCTTCATTCAATAAATTCATAGCAAAAGCAATTTTTGTAACTTTCTCCATGTCATTCAATAAATAATTATATTAATTGTTTGGTAATAGAAGCAGCACCTTGGCTAGAATAGCTCGTGAAAATGTTTTGCTGTCCACCTCGTTTGCACCAGTGAGCCAAACATGCTGCCTCCTAGCATAAGCCTTTCCGGGCAACCTTATATGCAATTCATTCGTATGTGTCAAATACAAAAAACAAAAAAACCTCAATCATTGTTCTCAAATTCTAGACTGCAATAATTATCATGTTCATACAAGCGAAACCGAAGTACAATCAATCCAATATAATTGCCTCCTTTATAACATTTAGTGCATCTATTTACTCTCACCAAGGTTGCTCAAAACATCAAAATATAACAGGTGAGTAAGCATGTCATCATATTGCGATTTTTTACCCCTTAACATACTTTATTAATTATTATTTTGTGTACCTAGGGATATGTCAGATAACAGAAACTCATAATATTTTTTTAAAATTAAAAAGGAATTTTACCTCTTAACATCTGTAATTCTTTCCATATACTAGTTAAGAATTTAGTTACAATCTTTCCTTATCGCACTTATTATAAGTAATTAATTGTTCTAATACTTTATCATTGATTTATTATGCACAGCGGGTATGATTTATTTCTTAAAAGTCAATAATACTTATCGAAACAATTATATGGATATTTAAAAAAAAATAAACCAATAATAAAGAGAATCATTAAAAGTATGTTACTAAATTCCCATAATTGTAGAGAATCAAAACAATCGTCACAAATAATGATTTGCTTCTTACAGACAGATGAAGATCCTTATATGTTAAAAGCAAACATAATAATGTCCTACATAATAGAGAAAGATACAAAAACAGTTATATATAGAGAGATCTACAATTATTTGTATATAGTCCATTACTTTAATTTTATATCTTTCTCTCTTATAACAAGCACAACATTGTCATGTTTCTTTCTAACATGAAATAATCTAATCCCACACAATCTGATAGTGCCATTAAATTAGTGTATTATTATTAGATTCCTAATATAGTCCTACTCCACTCTGCTCTATTAAACTTTTATTTGTCCTTCTCCCAACAATAGCTTCTCTTACAGAATATATAGATATAGATAAAATATAAGCAAAGGGATCCTCATAGCTTTGTGTTTGAATGTAGACCAGCCTAAATTCACAGCCTATCACTTACATAATTGAGAACTAAATAGCTTACTTACTGCAACATTTGATACGAACATGAATCCATCTGTTATATAGGGACCAATTGATGTTATATATCCTTTTGATGGAAAGGAAAATGGTGTTAGCAATTTAGGAGAAACTAAGAAGCTAATTCTACACGGATTCCTAATATTTCTTTTTCCCAAATGAAAATATCATGGTGGAAAAAGTTTGATCCTGGAGGAGGGAGAAGGAAAGGAAGAAGGAAATGTGATTGCAAAAAGTTCCAAATGCAGGATGGTAGCAACAGTGGCATTTTTTTGCAGCTATATTGCTTTAAATTTTGAATGCTTTAATTTGTCTGGTTTCTCAAAATAGGCAATTCCCTCTAGCAGCTGTCCTATTCAAGCATATAATGCTCAACTAAATATTGACCAGCTCAGCAAATTCTTTTTTGACAGAATGCTCCGAATATATTCCCCAACACATTCTAACATAACTCTCAAAATCAATGCTGTCAGTTGGACAATTTTACGAAATCTAACTGTGCTTTCATTTACTCCTGAAAGCAGAATCTGAGAAACCTTCGAATAGGATGAAGAAATAAAGTCCCTCAACCACCTTTTGGTAGAGACAAAAGATACTATACGTGTAAAACTTCCAACCAAAAAGTGAAATCGCAAAATGTTTTACCGTCTCTTCTCTTTTCCGACACAAAATAACAAACTCCATATAGAATCTAGACTAACATCTCTTTTTCAGCAACATCTCTTTAATACAATATTTTCAATAAACACTTTTCTATCGACTCAAATGTGTTATGATTCATAAAATGACACGATTTTCAACTTATATTCAATACTTGTCTGTGATTTTGTATTTTTTTATAAACATCTGTAAATTTTAGAGAGGGAATCAAAGAAAGCATGTTATATATTAGCATTTTTTTCAGTTTCTATATATATATATATATATATATATATATATATATATATATCCTACTGACACACGTCATAAATTCGAAGCTACTCAGATTGTATTTAAACTACAGTCACAGAAGCCCCTGGACCAGCCTGCATGCCTCACCAAAATGATCTTCGTAGTGAGGGGAATCGCATTCATACTTGATGGACAACTTCTAGCATAACATCTTTATGAGAAAAGGATTTAACATCTTTAATATTCTCTAAACAAAGTAAGGAAGGCACTTGGTTTCAAAAGCTAAGTTAGCACAAATGGAAAGTTATTAAATTTTTACAGCTCCTATCGTTGCATTTAAATTCACAAATCACAGTAGCTAGTCTCTCCCTTTCTCTTTTACTAAGGGACACTATAATATTTTTCCTCACCTCTTTACCGTTCCATTTATCTTCAAAAGGTAATTAACTTAATTTTGGAGTGAAACTATACATATCTAGAAAATGGCCTATCAGATAGAAAAGAATTCACGAGATCAAATATAGTTCAACATTTAAAAAGAGTCTTAAAGAACTGATAAAGTTAAAGTTAGATTAGATTTCTATGTAAAGACATAAAGAGAGCTTTATGACAAACGATGTAACATGACTTACCCAACACCAGGAGGAAAGGAGAATGAGACACACATCAAATAGAACCATTCGGATTCTGTTAGGTCCTCCGGCGACAAGGCGGCGCATGGCCGGCGAGTTGGTGGATTTGTCTCTCCGGAAGACAATGATTCATAGAGTTCTCTAAGTTGCTGGCTTCTTTGGAGAGATGCCTCCTCAGCACTCACCTCCATTGGTTGCACCGTCTTCCTAGTCTTAATTGCCCCATTGTAGTATCCATCACCCCAAACCAGAATCCTAAATAAACATAACATATAGCTTGTTATAATTTAGTGGCACACTAATACTGACACACACAGACATGTGTCGGTTAGAGAAACTAAGAAACATTAATTAGAAGAGTAATTAATCATTATATATCTTGTGGGACAATTAGTGTGGATAAAGTGGATTAATAACCACGTACACTTGTTGTGGACAAAGTTGCCAGAAGAGGCTATAAGTCCAGTGAACAGATTGCACCGCAGCCTGCAACATGCTTTGAAGCCTATTGCCTAGTGGCGCAGCCATTGTTCCCAACACTGTTTTGGAACAGCAGGCTTTCGGTTACTTCTCTGGAACCATGTTTATCTTGCTTCAAAAAAACTAGCCAAAAGTGGGAAAAAGGTGAAAAAGAGGAAAATTTGGGTTCTTGGTTTTGATGAAAAGTTAATAGGCAATGAAAAAGAGTGTTTGCGTGGATCTGAGCCGAAAATCAAACCATTAATTTATTCCGAATGAAAGGCGCGGAGAAAATAAGGTAAGGGGGGAGTTCCAAAGAGAGAAGAGAAGGTCAAGAAATTAAGTATAGACCTGCAGATGTGTGTATGTGTTGCGTGTTGGAGAGAAAGAGATCTTTAAAAAGGTGTATGACTTTGAGGTGGATATGCGGGCGATCCAAGAATTACCATATCTCTGTAAGGAGAAGATCTTGGAACGTTTGTTGGGTAAATGATCAGGGAGTGTGAGAGAGAGCAAGAGAGAGAAAGAGAGAGAGAGAGATAGGGTTTTGAAACTCATGAAGAGTATGGTTTTGACTGGTTGGTCTACCAGACAGTTGTAGCTAGCTATGTGGTTTGTGGATGATGAGGCTGAGGGTGCGTTGTGGTTTGTTAGTTGTGTTGTTTCTCAGACCCTCGCGGATTGGTGCCAAGAAGGAAAACAAAGTTTTTTTTTTTTTTTTTAATCTATTTGGGTATATATACTTCATGATAAAAAGACAGATAGGATATGAAAGAAACAAATAATAATAATAAATTGAAAATCGAAATAAATATAGCACTGGTGTGTGTATCATATAAAAAAACCAGAGAGTCAGCCACTAAATACTAACCACAAACAAACACCAGGTGATAATCTTATTGTTAACTTTAAAATCATGGGTTAGGACTGGTATAAAGATTCTGAGCAATGTCAACAATATATTAATTTTAAATATATATAAAAAAATCTAGGTGAAACTTGGAACTCAACAATAACAAATACTAGTAAGTACATGTTATTATCTATTAATAAAATAATTACATCCATAGTTTATTTTTGGTATCAATTAGACTAATATTTGTATATAACAATATAATCTTTTGAGTTTATTTCTTCTTTCAATTAAAATAAATAATTGAAAAATATATTTCAACATAAAATTTTCATGATTTTTTAATTTTGGTAAATTTTAAATAATGATAATAATAATAATAATAAATTATAATTAAAAGAATTTATTATAAAAACTTCTAAAAAATATATTAATATTTAATAATAAAATTTTAGATATTAATTTTAAATTAATTGTTAAAAAATATAGGAATTACAATATATTACTATATGTGATTAGTAGTGTTCAATTGTTAAACTGAAGTTTTATATTCTTTTATCTAATTCAACTTAACTTATACTTAATAGGTGAGTTTAGTTACATTAATTCGATCACAATTTTTTAATAATACTTTTATTAAAATATTGAATTTTAAATTTCTTGTATATTTTTTAAAATAATTTTTAAAAAATTTATTAATTAACATTTAAATAATTCAATATTTAAAGTATATATTTTTAATTAATAAAATAATTTTTAAAATTATTATTATTTATAATTGTAATCGAATTAAATTGAATTGGATTTCAAAGTATATATATATATATATATATATATATATATATATATATATATATATAAAAGAGAGAGAGAGAGAGAGAGAGAGAGAGAGAGAACTTATCACCCAACTCAACTCATAATAAGTGCTTTGGGGGTTTGGGCTTATCTTGATAGTAAAGTAAATTCAGCCCAATTTATTGAACATTTGTAGTAGTGGTACATATAAGAGGCAATTTTTTAAGCTATTTTAAAACTAAAATATAAACAAAGAATTAAAAATATATAAGTAATTTAATAGTTTCAACTTAATATTCCTATCAACTTAGTAAAATTAGTAAATAATTGTGATTTTTAGGCATGTACTTATTTGGTAGTTTGTATCTATTTTTAAAAACTAGTTGAGTTAATTGTTTTTCCTTTAAAATTTTCATAATAATAAAGGATTAGTAATTGTGAGAAATGATGACAAATTTGGTAGTAAAAATATGATAAAAGTCCAAGCCATTGGTTAAAGTGGCCCTACTGAAATTCAGTCCGTTCTTTTTTAAAAATCAACATATAATTGAATTAATAAAAATGATAGAAAAAAAGGAGTAAAAGTAATATCATTTCGTACATGAACTAGAATATTCATTTGAACAAAGAAAAGTACATTCATAAGATGACTATTAAATATTGGTTTGAATAAGATTAAACAAATAATATATGAAATCAAACCAAACATAAAATAAGCAAGATAATGTTCAAGGAAGAATAAAATTTAGAGAAATTAAGGAAGGGGTGATGGAGAAAATAAAAAATTATAGAGAACACAGAGAATCATCGAAAATAGAAAGAAGATGAGAAAAGAAAGTAAAAAGGACAAGAACTTGAAAGTGGGCCACAACATACCCCTTTTCATTGAAGCATAGAGCCATGATATGAAGAGTTGTAGTAGTACATGAGTTTATCGGTGTAACGTCATGCTTTTTATAAAATAAAAATAATTTATAAAAAAAATAAAGTTGGATGAGTAGAAACAAACAAAGTTAATAGATAGTTGTAATTAATTTTCAAGATTCAATCATGTATCATGAATAAGTGTTATGTTTTCTATTTTTAATGCTAAGTGTGTTTGAGTGCTACATATTATTATTATTATTATTTATAAGTGAGGATGTTGAAAATGATGACATAAATTAAATTTTTAAAGATTTTACAAAAAAATTGATGATTTTTTTTTAATAATTCCAGACAATTCACTGGATCACTTATAGGTCAAGATTGTTAGTCCTATATGTAATAAATAATATAGTGAAGAACATAAAACACAATATAAGAAAGAAAAATAACACACACAAAATTTATGATGATTCATTATCCAACTAAGACACTATCTTATGTACTAACACACAATAATTACAATATCATGAAGTCTTACATAAAAGTTTATCATAATATAGTAAAATAACAAAGACTTACTATATATTGTAACTAAACCTTTCTCACTAAATTTTTTTATTTTTCTATAAATGAACTTAGAAGAATTGGCTTCAAAGAGCTCTTGTAAGAAAAATATAAAGAAGGTTCATAATATGTATTTTGATATTATTGAGAAGCTTTTGAAGCCACTGTATTTATATGAAAATAATTATTACCAGAGTGAGTTGTTAAGTTATAACAAACTTAACTATTTCTTGAAAAATGTTTCTTAATAGATTTAACACATTTTTGAAAATCATTTTTCTGAAAAAACTCCTCAATAAGACAATACACTTTCATACAAGAGAAGAATTTGAGTACTTAAATCTTCTTATAATTGTTAGAATCATCAAATAAAAAAGCATGAAGAACAAACTTCATAAAGTGAAAGCATGTGATGAATGATGAAAGGGTCAAGAATAAATAATTAGCATCATTGGACTTTTAATTTTAATTTTTTAATTTTGATTATTTTTTTAATTTCTTGTATTAGGTCTTTATTGGACCTTGTATTTATTTTCATACTTTTGTAATTAGAGACTTTATTAAACACTAGTTTTTATTAAGATTTAGATGGCTTATTAGGTGAGTTTAATTGGGGATTGGATCTTGACTCAAAAGTATATATTAAATACGACTTTTTATAAATTTTTTTATTGACAATTAAGATAATGCTGAGTTCTAAGCTTAACTTTGTGAGAGAAAATCTCCCTAAGTTGTTTCGAAGAACTTTTAATTCCTTAGTTTGAATTTAGCGGATCCTCTTCAAGTTAGCAATTTAGATTGTCAGTCATTAACTTATCAATATATTATAATGTCTTCATTTATAATCTCCTTCTGCATTTTCTATTTCCTTTTTATATTTTTTTGAATTTATGAAAATTGTCAGAACTAATTCTTAAACGCATTCTAATGTTAGATCCTTGTCGTTTGTCTCATATTATATTTTTCGACAATTTCACCCATAAATAAGAACCAAAAAATAAAAATAAAAAACATGGAAAGTGATTAGAAATAAAAAAAACGTCATAATCTAGATTAATAAGTTGAGAAAAAATTGCCTCTTTAAATTGAAAATTTAAAGATAAGAATAAAATTTTTTACAAGAACTCAGAGAAATTTTATCTCACAAAGTTAAGTTTCAAAATTTGTATTATAAGTACAAAAACTTATAAAATCTCTTATATACTGTGTTAGAAAGAGAAAAAAAACCATGATTTTGATGAAGAAAAATATGATTAAGTTTTGGAGTATTTGACTGTGTGTTAAGTGTGCTATAAGAAATAAATTAATAATACCATATCAGACCAATTGAATTTTATATGTAGAATAATTATGTATTATCAAGAAAAATTCTAAAATATTTAAAAAAAAATATGATTATATGCATATTAAATCAAAATGTGAAAAAGGGAATCACATACAAGAATAAAGGTGCAACAATCATAATTCAAATATTATTCTAAAATGAAAATATACTGCGATAGAAGTAATGGAAATATTCTCCCTCCTTCCACCATGAATGATGTCAAAAGCCTCAAACCTTGAATATCCAAGTTGAACCAAAATTCTTTCTCAAGTTTCTAAAGAAACTTGACACTAACTCCTCCAAGGAAGGTTCCTTGTTAGGAGAATAGGAGAAAGAAATATCTAAAGACACTTGAAAAGTTAATTTAGGGTACAAGCAAAATTTGCAAGTTCCAGATACAAATTTTGACTTTATTCAAATGTGATTCCAAGAAGCTACACAAGGGGTCATATATATAGTTGTTCCCCTCTTATTCACTCACTCACCTAAGAAATGTGTGACTAATTTTGCCTTATACAATTGATGATCGAAGTTCCTAGCTTCAAGTCCCACCTAGACCATATATATACCAAAAAACTCTCAAATGTTGTAACTAAGAGTTAAACCTTGGACTTCCTTGAGTATTTGGAGTGCTTTGGCCGAATTTGAAAAGCTAAAATGATGTAT